TCAGCCGATTTTTTTTACCATTGGTGGTAACGTCGGCCTATTGAACGACCGATTTTTTTTTTTTTTTTTTTTTAAAACGGCCGGTTTTCGACCCATCTATAGCCTGCATAAGACAGGCATTTCCCTTGCTTTGAAAAAAATTCCTCTCACTTTCTTTCCCAGAGATTTCACCAGGAAGTAAGAGGAAATCCGGCCACACACGGGTCGAATTCCGAAAGAATTTTCTTTCAAAAATCTTTTCTAAGAATTTTTGTTCGAATTTTGCACCATTAGTGGGTCGCAGAAATGGACAATTTTCATGTGACCATCGAATTTGAGTGATCGGGCATGCTGAAATTTATTTGAAAAAGGAACAAATTTTGATCAATCAAGCTGTGACCTGGAAAGGAAAGAACATTCTTGGCGGCGAAAATTCTTTTCTGTAGCAACATGAGAAATTGAAGGCTTGGTTGGTTGAATTTCGCAATCAATGGTGGCACCATCGCATTACAAAAGCACAAAATTTCTGATTTTGTAAAAAATTAGCTCGGAATTCGAACTGTGTATGGTCTGCAGAAGTCTCCTCAAATTGGAAAAAGAAGATTGGAAAACAAGGACAGACAGGGGTTTAAGCCCTTCACTTCTCTGTCCAAAACTGGCTAAACAAACACTTAAACAGGCCATACATGGGTCAAATCCTGAATGATTTTTCGATCGAAAATCAAAAACATTGTTCGTTCTGTAACCCGAGGGTGCCACCAATGATGTTGAAAATCGGTCGTTTTTCACAAATTTTCCAGCATGCCCTATAAATGAAATGGGAAGGAACCACGAAAATCGGCTGGTGCCATTGCCCCACTAACAGAGTGAAAATCAGCCACATAATTCTTAGGTCTGATTTTTTAATGAAAAATCGTTCGAAAATCGACCCATGTATGGCCGGCCTTTGAGACCAAGTTTACACCTTGGGGTTGATTTACTAAAACTGGAGAGTGCAAAATCCGGTGCAGCCATGCATGGTAGAAAAATCAGCATCAAAGGCTGGCCATACATGGGATGATTTCCGAAAGATTCGTAAACAAGTACAGACAGGGGTTTAAGCCCTTCACTTCTCTGTCCAAAACTGGCTAAACAAACACTTAAGCAGGCCATACATGGGTTGAATTCTGAACGATTTTTCAAAAACATCATTTGTTCTGTAATCCGATGGTGCCACCAATGATTTAGAAATTGGACGGTTTTCAAAAATTTTCCAGCACGCCCGATAAACGAAATGAGGAGGAACCATGAAAATTGTCCATTGCCATTGCCCCACTAACAGCGAAAATCGGCCGATTATTCTTAGGTCTGATTTTCGAATGAAAAATCGTTTGAGGAGGTCTCCGATAGGACAACTGATATAAGGGAGCACAGGTTTTGTTTAACCATTTGCCGTCCGCCCTATGGCCAAAAGGCGGGCGGCAAATGTCATCAGCGTTCCGGGTGGACGCCATATGGTGTCCTCCTGCACATGCGCAGATTGCGCTCCTGCAGTGCCGCGCAGCGGCGCGATCTGTCACCGGCCGCGTACCTCGGACATGGCCGATGACAGATCTGAGTATTGGCCCCCATTGCGATACCAGATGACCTGCTGTGACCAATCACAGCAGGTCACATGACAGTTGTATACAATGGATGGCTTCATTCATGCCATCCATTGTATACTAGTGTCTAGCTGTGAATGGTCACAGCTAATCACATGCACATGTCATGTGATTAGCTGTGGCCAAATCACAGCTAAGCACAAAACAAAAAAAACCCCTGAATGAATCGATGTCATTCAGGTAAATGCTTGCTTATAGCAAAGTAATTCTTTGCTATAAGCACATTGTGTAAAAAAAAAAAAAATACTGATCCCTTCCCCAAAGTAGTACAATGTTACTATGGTAACATTGTACTACTTTGGTCATAGTGAAATATGAAAAAGAAATCTTAAAAAAAATAAAAAAATAAAAAAAAATTTTTTTTTTTCATATTGTCATCAGTCAGTGTCCCTGATCACCGCCATGCCAGTTATATGATGACGCTGTACTGCACTGGTGACAGTATGTAAAAAAAAAATAGTGAAACTAATTTTTTTAATTTTTTAATTTTCTGAAAAATTATGACAAAAAAAATACAACTTCAAAAAACTCGCCATTCCTCTTATGAAGTACGTCGGACTGTCTACTCTGCAAAAATTTGGGGGATATCTGTACTATTCATTTGGGGGTACTATGACATTTGGGGGATATCTGTACTGTTCTGACATTATTGGACCTCAAGAAATTAGATTGGCTGTCAGTACTTCAGGATTGATCAATAATCAGATCTATACCATAGTTTGTAAACTCTATAACTTTCCTACAAACTAAATAATACATCCTAATTTGGGTTATTTTCACCAAAGACATGTAGCAGAATACATCTCGGCCTAAATTTATGAAGAACAATTATTTATTATTATAACAGAAACAAAGAAAAATGTGTTTTTTTCAAAATTTTTTGGTCTTTTTTTGTTAATTTAGCAAAAAATAAAAACCCCAGCGGTGATTAAATACCACCAAAAGAAAGCTCTAGTTGTGTGAAGAAAATTATAAAATTTTAGTTTGGGTACAATGTTGTATGACCGCGCAATTGTCATTCAAAGTGTGAGAGCGCTGAAACCTGAAAACTGGCCTGGGCAGGAAGGTGTAAAATTGCCCGGTATTGAAATGGTTAATCACCGTAATGTAATGACAATCTAATACATACTAGTGTTTCCCAGGTCATAACACTGTGACAGACTGTCAGGGACTCACACATAGTGTTGACATTATGCCCCCTAACTTTTTTTATTGCACCCCCAGATCAGATAGGCTAGAGCCGGCCCTGCTTTACAGTAGACTGTAGCAGTGACTGGATGATGTTTAGCTTCTATGGCCCCTATGTACAATAAACATTATTATTGTATTTATTTTTAATACTGTGTTAACCTTTTATTACCATCCTTTGTTACAGCTCAGTACAGCTGATCTCCTGCAGCCTCTTTGCAGCCACTTCCTGTCTACATGCACTCTTTCAATGTCTGTATGACATTCCTGTCCTGATGGTGACAACTATGGACATGTCTATGCATGGAGCATTGGCATGGCCACTTCTAATATTTACTGAAAGCCTGTTTGACAGGGTGACAACGCAGGATCATATTTGGGACATAAGGACAGAGCGTTGTCACTTCATAACAAGAATAAGGACTTTCATGGTAGGATAATCTGGATTCTTGCAGCAGATTTGAAATGACTGCAATTACTTTTGCAATGGTATCAAAGCAGAACTTCACCCAAAAGGGAAAGTTCTGCTTGATTACACCCTCCCCCCCCCTCCACTGCCACATTTGGCACTTTTTCAGGGGGTTACTTGGTTTTGACTCCTACTTCTGATCAGATGCACCCCGGAGTCTGGGCCAGAAGTTCGCCCCCCCCCCCCCTTTTCCCTGCAGTCCAGTGTTGTATTTAGGTTTTGTGCTGCCCTAGGCAACACAAAAATTGGATGCCCCCCATCTCCTACAGAGAGAGCCTGACACCAACCAACACCAGACCCCCCCCCCCTGCGAAGAAAGCCTGACACCGACCAACACGAGACCCCCCCCCCTGCGGAAAGGGCCTGACACCGACCAACACCAGACCCCCCCACGGAGAGAGCCTGACACCGGCCAACACCAGACCCCCCCCCCCCCCCCCCATTATGTGGAGAGAACCTGACACCGACCAGCACCAGACCCCCCCTGCGCGAAGAAAGCCTGACACCGAACAACACCAGACCCCCCCGCGGAGAGAGCCTGACACCGACCAACACCAGACCCCCCCCCTGCGAAGAAAGCCTGACACCGACCAACACCAGACCCCCCCCCCCGCGGAAAGGGCCTGACACCGACCAACACCAGACCCCCCCGCGAAGAAAGCCTGACACCAACCAACACCAGACAACCCCCTGCGGAAAGGGCCTGACACCCGACCAACACCAGACCCCCCCCGCGAAGAAAGCCTGACACCAACCAACACCAGACAACCCCCCTCTCCGTGAAGAAAGCATGACACCGACCAACACCAGACCCCCCTGCGGAGAGAGCACAGACACAGACCAGCACCAGACCCCCCCGCGGAGAGAGCCTGACACCGACCAACCCAGACCCCCCCGGGAGAGAGCCTGACACCGACCAACACCAGACCCCCCCGTGGAGAGAGCCTGACACCGACCAGCACCAGACCCCCCCCCTTCCCCTCGCAGAGAGCCTTTCACAAACCCCCCCCCCCCCGGCGACGGTGAGTAAGGCACTCACCTTCACAGCTCTGGCCATCCCCAGGAACGACAGTCGGGCTGTGCATACACCATCAATTGGCCTGCAACCTCTCTCAGATCCCACCTGGTCCCCATGCCAAGATGTCCCTTCTTCCAGGGGGCAGTACTGCCCCCCTAAAAAATGCCACCCTATGCATATGCCTTGTTTGCCTTGTGGTAATTACACCCCTGCTGCAGTTTTCCGGGACTGCAGAACCATTCACAAAGTGCATCACGCTTCGGGCATGAGCACTATGAAACCGGCTATGAAGCCGGAAGGCTTCTCTGCCGGTTTCCCTTACTGAAGATGCTGGCAATGTTGGGCTCACATACATTTGCAATGTTTGCGCTATTTTCTCCATTGCAATTCTTCTTCAAAAAAATCAAAATGTTAGATATGATAAGGTTTTATTATTATTATTATACAGGATTTATATAGCGCCAACAGTTTGCTCAGCGCTTTACAATAAAACGGGAAACATTACAGTTACAATACAATTTGGTACAAGAGGAAACAGAGGGCCCGGCTCATTAAGAGTTTACAATCTAGGAGGAAGAGTTGAGTGATACAAAAGGTAGTAGCTGTGGTGGGGGGATGAGCTGATGGAGGAAATAAATGGCAGTTTACTAGGTAGAAGCAGTATAGGCTTCTTCAAAGAGAAAGGTTTTCAGGGATCGTCTAAAGCTGGATAGATTAGGAGACAGCTGGACAGATTGGGGTAGGGAGATTCAGAGAATGTGAGAAGCTCTGGAGAAGTCCTGGAGGTGAACATGGGAGGAGGTGACAAGGAAACTAGAGAGCATAAGGTCTTGGGAGGATCGAAGAGAGTGGTTTGGTTGATATTTTGAGACCAGGTTGGTGATGTAGCTGGGGGCAGAGTTGTGGATGGCTCTGTAAGTTGTTAGTATTTTGAATTTTATTCATTGAGCTAGTGGAGGCCAGTGAGGGATTGGCAGAGAGGGGTGGAGGACACTGAGTGGAGGCCAGTGGAGGGATTAAGAGAGAGGGGTGGAGGACACTGAGTGGAGGCCAGTGGAGGGATTGGCAGAGAGGGATGGAGGACACTGAGTGGAGGCCAGTGGAGGGATTGGCAGAGAGGGGTGGAGGACACTGAGTGGAAGACAGTGGAGGGATTGGCAGAGAGGGGTGGAGGACACTGAGTGGAAGACAGTGGAGGGATTGGAGGGAGGGGATGGAAGACACTGATGGAGGCAGTGGAGGGATGGAGAGACACTGAGTGGAGGCCAGTGGAGGGAGGGAGAGGGGTTGGAGGACACTGAGAGAGGGATGGAGGACAAGACACTGAGTGGAGGCCAGTGGAGGGATTGGCAGAGAGGTGGGGACACTGAGTGGAGGACCACTGGAGATTGGCAGAGAGGGGTGGAGGACACTGACTGGAGGGATTGGCAGAGAGGGGTGGAGGACACTGAGTGGAGGCCAGTGGAGGGATTGGCAGAGAGGGGTAGCAGACACTGAACAGTTGGTAAGGTGGATGAGCCTGGCTATTCTTCTACTGGCTAATATACCATGGTGGAACCAACATACAGTATGTAGCCAATATTTGACATATCAGGTCATCCCTGCTGAGCTGTGCCGGGTAGCCCGGTGTTCATGTGCAGGGTCCACTTTAGTAAAATTAGATGCCGTTAATGGCGTGTCCTCCGAGTCATCGCAGTGATTTAAGCCCGCTGCACCATATGTAGATGAGTATTAAATCATATACAGCGTTACTGCATCTCTAACTGTGATTTCCCCTGAGTAGATGGGCTCTCCATCAGCCACCAATATGCTTTATTAAATGAATAGGAGGAGATGGGGCGTGGGGAGAGCAGACTATGCCATTCCAGCACAGCAATCTCTATATACATACAGCGGTCAGGTGCTCAAAGCCCTCGGTAACCTCTCACCGTCCTACAGATGGATGGAAGTGGGGATGTCTGTCCGCCTTCTGAACAGTGAAACTTCACCACATATTCAGCCAGTTAAAGCTGAATTGAATCTTCTTATATTTTTCCTTTCTTCCCTCATCAATATTCTAACCTCAAAGTGGAGGTCCAGCCAAAATCTAAAAAAGGCTTTTAAAAAACAAACACACCCGTCCCTCGATCCAGCAGTGTCCTCATCGTAGACGGTTCCACCAGCCGTCCTCTCTCCCTGATGCCGGCATTTTAAGTGGGGGCACCCGGATGTGACAGGTTGCGGCATCATAGCCGGGTGCCCACTGCGAATGCCTGAGTAGCGCTGCGTCTTGTGAATGGTCCCGTAGTCTTCTGGGACCTGTCATGTGTCCCAGAAGACTACAGGGAGGTAGAGTGGAAAACTTCCGCTTCTAATCGCCTAGGCCAGCATTTCTCAACCAGGGTGCCCAGGCACCCTGGGGTGCCTTGAGGTTTCTTCAGGGGTGCCTTGGCAAAATGTCCAAAAATTGCCCAAAACGTGTATATAAGCCAGCGGGTGGAACAAGCCTGCCTTTTAGTTACACGAAGTCACAGGTTTTCATTACAGGCACACAGGCACCATTATAACCTTCTAGCCGCAGGCGTCCTGACAGCCAATAACATAATCAGTTCATAAGGAGGTTGTCAGCTGGCTGCACAGCATCCTAGTTTGATCATCCCCTGCCTCTCTCTGTCAGTGCTGGGGTCATATTACCTCAGTGATGGAGAAAAACTGAGGGAGAGGAGAAACATGGGAATACTAGTCAGTACCAGTGTGCAGAAGTGTATTTGCTTTGGAAAAATAAATCACCTCCAACATTGGGTGTCCTACGTGTGTGGATGTCACTGCATTATATAAAACTATTAGAATAGTTTTTCACATTTTAGAATGGGGTACCTCAAGACTCCATAATTTTAAAGGGTGCCTCGGGACTGTCCATAATTTTAAGAGTTGCCTTGACTGAAAAAAAGTTGAGAAACACTGGCCTAGGCTATCGCAGCAGAAGTGGGAGAGGGTACCTGTCGCCATCAGAGTGCTCCTTTACATCAGGTATCCCCATCACATTGCCACCTTATATCAGGTATTCCTGTCAGAGTGTCCCTTTACACTCAAAGTACCTCTTTCCATCATATTTCCCCATCAGAGTGCCCCTTTCCATCACTTGTGCCCATCAGAGTGCCTCTTTCCCCACAGTATGTTTTCCCATTTGTTTGTACCCCCTTAACATAAAATGTTCCCATCAGAGTGCCCCTTAACCTCCCTAGCGGTATGATTATTTCATATTTTGGTGCTGAAAGCGGTACAATTATTTTGCATGGAAATATGTAGTTTTTTTTTTGTAGGCTGTAAAATGTATGTGAAATGGGTTGAAACAGCAATGTTTTACCATGTAAAATCGTTTCGAAAAAAAATGACATTTTTTAAAAATTTTCAAATTTCCCGCCGCCGCCGCCGCCCCCGTACGTCCCGACGTCACAGGGACCAGAACACAAGAGCCGGATGGCAGCATCAGCCGGAGGAGATGGCTGGGGCCGCTGCAGGGGACACATCGCGGGAGCAAGGACAAGGTAAGTGCTGCAGGGACTCCCTATACAGTGCTGTATGGTAAGCCCGAGTGTAGCTCGGGGTTACCGCTTTTGGTACTGAAACTTTACCCCGAGCTACACTCGGGAATACTGCCAAGGAGGTTAATATAAAATGTTCCCATCAGAGTGCCCCTTAGTATAATTGTGCCCATCAGAGTGCCCCTTAATATAAATGTGCCCATCATTTTTGTGATGAAGAATTTTCTTTTCTTACCAGGTCACAGCTAACGCTCGTTTCTTTTTTGATTATATATTTCTCGCATGATTCTCCTATCATTGATTAGAAATTTGTTCATTTTTCAAACAATTTCCAACATGCCTGACCTCCCTCTTAGATTGTAAGCTCCAAGGACCCTCTTGTATTGAACAGTATCATTGCTGTATTGTCTCCCGTTATATTGTAAAGTGCTGAGCAAACTGTTGGCGCTATATAAATCCTGTATAATAATAATAATATATAAATCCTGTATAATAATAATATATAAATCCTGTATAATAATAATAATAATATAAATCCTGTATAATAATAATAATAATAATAATATAAATCCTGTATAAATAATAATAATAATATAAATCCTGTATAATAATAATAAAATAATAAATGTATAATAATAATAATATAAATCCTGTATAATAATAATATAATCCTGTATTATAATAATAATAATAATATAAATCCTGTATAATAATAATAATATATAATCCTGTAAATAATAATAATATATAAATCCTGTATAATAATAATAATATAAAAATCCTGTATAATAATAATAATAATAATAAAAATAATAATAATAATTTGATAGTCACATGAAATTCACCCGTTTCTGTGGCCCACTAACGGTGCAAAATTCGAACGAAAAAAAAAAATTATTTCGGAATTGGACCCGTGTTTGGCCGGCTTTAGTTCATCTGTTTATTTTTTGTAAAGAAGGTGAACTTACCCTTTAAGTTTGACTAATAGGACACACAGTTTGGGGAATGCTATGAGGGGAATTGCGATCCATTTTTTATTATTGGTGAGCTGCCAATAAGGAAGAAGGGAGTAGGTAGAATTGCAGATGTTTTCTCAGGAATAGAGAATAGGTATTTATGTATTTAATTTGTATGTTTTTTGTGATAAGCAACATTCCTCCCGTACTGTGTCAATATTCATCGCCTAATGTCACTTTCCCCAGAATCTTAGTATGAGTTCTAACATGTTTGTTGAGCTCACTCCTCAAGCGTACAATGTCAGTTCCAGCTGCTATGGATCCATTACGTCAAAATGTATAAATAATGACGTACTAAAAATAAATTACATAAATGAGTCTTCTGGTCAGAGATATCACAAAGGTCTGTATAGTACAGATGACATGAATGGAGGACAAATATTTGTAGTTCACAAAGTTCCAATCACATGACTCTTAAAAATAGATTGATTTCAATTGGAACTCTGGACTAAAAATGACATACAGTTGCAAGAAAAAGTATGTGAACCCCTTGGGATTACGTGGAGTTTTGCATGAATTGGGCATAAAATGTGCTCTGAAAGTCATCTAAGTCACAACAATAGAAGAACACAGTCTGCTGAACATAATACTACACAAACATTAGATGTTGCCATGGTTTAATTGCACATAACATGTAAACATTCACAGTGCAGGGAGGAAAAAGTATGTGAGGCCCTAGCTTAATGACTTCTCCCAGAGCTAATTGTTTCCAGGAGTGAGCCAACCTTGACTCCAATCAGTGTGATAATATTGGATGTGTTGCTGACAGCTGTCCTGCCCTTAAAAAACATACACCTGTTTTGAGTTTACTGGTTTCAAGAAGCACTGTCTGATGTGAACCATGCCTCGCAGAAAAGAGCTCTCAGAAGACCTACGATCAAGAATTGTTGACTTGCATGAAGCTGGAAAGGGTTACAAAAGTATCTCCAAAAGCCTTGATGTTCATGTGTCCACGGTAAGACAGACTGTCTACAAATGGAGAAAGTTTAGCACTGTTGCTACTCTCCCTAGGCGTGGTCGTCCTGTAAAAATGACTGCAAGAGCACAGCGCAGAATGCTACATGAGGTAAAGAAGAATTCCAGAGTGTCAGCTAAAGACCTACAGAAATCTCTGGCACATGCTAACATTTTTGTTGACACATCTACAGTAAGGAAAACATTAAACAAGAATGGAGTACATGGGAGGACACCACGGAGGAAGCCATTGCTGTCCAAAAAGAATATTGCAGTACATTTGAAGTTTGCAAAAGAGCACCTGGATGTTCAACAGCACTACTGGCAAAATATACTGTGGACAGATGAAACCAAGATTGAGTTGTTTGGGAAGAACACACAACAACACTATGTGTGGAGAAAAAAAGGCACAGCACACCAACATCAAAACCTCATCCCCACTGTAAAACATGGCGGAGGGAGCATCATGGTTTGGGGCTGCTTTGCTGCCTCAGGGCTGGACGGATTGTTGTCATTGATGGGAAAATGAATTCCAGAGTTTATCAAGACATTTTGCAGGAAAACGTACGACCATCTGTCCGCCAACTGAAGCTCCGCAGAGGATGGGTGATGCAACAGGACAATGACCCAAAGCATACAAGTAATTCAACAAAACAATGGCTGCAACAGCACAGAATATGCCTTCTGGAGTGGCCCAGTCAGAGTCCTGACCTCAACCCGATTGAAATGCTGTGGCATGACCTTAAGAGAGCGATTCACACTAGACATCCCAAGAATATTGCTACACTGAAACAGTTTTGTAAAGAGGAGTGGTCCAAAATGACTCCAGATCGTTGTGCAGGTCTGATCTGCAACTACAGGAAATGTTTGGTTGAGGTTATTGCTGCCAAAGGAGGGTCAACCAGTTATTAAGTCCAAAGGTTCACATACTTTTTCCTCCCTGCACTGTGAATGTTTACATGTTATGTGCAATTAAACCATGGCAACATCTAATGTTTGTGTA